ATCCCGAATAAAGTAATGTGAAATGTGGAAGAAATTACAATCGGTTTCTAGTAGAACGGCCTCAGTTCAAAATTTTCAAGTTCTTTCATTCGCATGTTTGGTCCGCTGAAGGGAACTTACTCTTTTTTAAATGTTATTTTTACACCGGAAAAAATAGAAATGCCTCTAATTTTTTACTTTACGTAAGGCTTATACATTCTCATGCTCTACTGCTGAAATATCGGTAACGAGTAATAAAACTTTTTTAAAGTTAAGGTTAAAGTTCTTTTAAAGTTAAGTCTTAAAGTTAAAATTAAAGTTCTTTTTTTCGAATTTTTGGTCCGCTGAAGGGAACTCAATCATTTTTTAAATGTTATTTTTACACCGGAAAAAAAGAGAAATGCCTCAATTTTTTACTTTATCTAAGGCTTACATCCTCGTGCTCTACTGCTCACATAACGGTAATGAGTAATAAAACTTTCATAATTTACTTTAAATCGAATTTGCACTTGAAAATCTCTTAGGCTCCTTTCATTTTTCCGAAAAAAGGCGTGAGTCCATCTTTGAAAATTAGCTTCATAGGGTATAAAAATTTTCCCACCGGAGAAAATATCTCAAAACTTCCAAACAGACGTTGATCCATCCTTCGAGCATCCCAGAAAATTTTTATTCATCCTGCTCGCCGAGAAAAACAAGCTGTAAAATTTGGTCTTGTCTGCCGTGCTAAGGGAGAACGCCGTATGTACATTCGAAAGTTGCTAAATTTCCTTCGATAAAATGTTTATTTTTAAGGCAAGTTATGAATATTCTTCCTTGACATTTTCAGGAACTCTAGAGGATATTGCAAAAAAAAAAATATCTGAAAAATTGGAAGAAAAATATTCATATGTTTATCAGGAAATTCGTGCTTTATCAAAGAAAATTTGGCGATGCCTGAACACTGAAAAAAAATCTCTCGGCGTTTTTCGGCCGTATGTACATTCGAAAGTTGCTAAATTTCCTTCGATAAAATGTTTATTTTTAAGGCAAGTGATGAATATTCTTCCTTGACATTTTCAGGAACTCTAGAGGATATTGCAAAAAAAATTATCTGAAAAATTGGAAGAAAAATATTCATATGTTTATCAGGAAATTCGTGCTTTTTCAAAGAAAATTTGGCAATGCCTGAATACTGAAAAAAAATCTTTTGGCGTTTTTACCAAGGTCCGTTGGTACCTTCACCATCTCACTTGTTTTACCAATTATTGGTAATTTTACCAAGACAGACTGGTAAGCTTACCTAAAAACCGGTATTTTTACAGTTTTTTCAGGTAAGAATACCACTTTTATTGGTAATCAATTCCCGGTAGCTTTGCCATTTTATCTCGGTAATTCTACCACAGTCGATAAAAAATATCGGCGTTTTCACCAAGGTCCAGTAATATTACCGAGAAAGTTCAATTATTTTACCGAGATTTCTCGGTAAAATTACCAATTACATAAATGGTAATTTTACCATGAAAAAACCGGGATCAAATAGAACCCTGCATTCTTGGTGATTTTACCCTTTTCTTAGTAAATACATCGAGATGTTTTTTTCAGTGAAGGTTCATATGGCGTTTTTCCTTAGCACGGCAGTGTGAACTTCGCTCTTCTCCCAGAAATCTGTGAACTTCGCTCTTCTCCCAGAAATCAATTCAAATCGGCAACATCACCCGGCGATTTTCACCCTCTCCTCGAGGCTTTATCCGACGGGTTTCAGTTGATTCATGGGCGAGTTTTATTATTTCGAGTGATTATTTCAGGCACGCAAATGGACGGTGGAAAAAATGACGGAGACTCATCTCCGCAGAGCCCGGCCGGCGGAAATATTTCATCTGTATCTCGCTTTTGATTCATTTGTAAATATTTCCTGAGCAAATATTAGCGATTCGATTTTAGTGTACCGACGATTCCTGCTGTACTTTCGCAAACAGGAGGAGATTATTAACAAAATCGTTGTAAACTGAAGGGGACCAGAGGGGTTCAATTGCATCGCACAATTGCAAATTTTCACCTGATAACTGACCACTTTATTTATTAACGGGTGTTTGATTTGTATTCTTTGGATTGTTTCTCATGGAAGAGATGAATTAAGAACGGACATTTTGAAACACCGCAATGGAGATACGTGGTTTTGCACTTCAGTCGGTGCAATGCGGACAGCCATCAAGTTTAAAAAGTTGCATCAAGTCCCCGTCACCGCCGACCAAAGCGTTGTCGATCGAATCAACTCCAGGTATTATGCGTAGGAAGTCAAAACGCCTTCAAATTTTTGAACGCAATACGGACATCCGTCGAGGATGTATAGTTGTACCAAGGCGCCGTAGCAATCGCGTCCCATTGTTTATCGTTACAGACGAATATAAGTTGAGAGAGGAGAGTCATAATGCCTTCAATTTTATACATACATATTCTTGGGCAAAATGGGAGACGACGTTTCTCCATTTGCGACGTTGCAGACTTCCTTGGAAATTTTATTTTTCCTTCGAGAAGCTGGTCAACATAAAACTTAAATTCTCCATGATTTTTTGTATTCGATAGCAGAAGATTTGGTTCAAAATTTAAAGTCGTAAAAAGAGGGTTTTTTTGTCAAAACACAAAAGTAAAGCGTTACGACTATTAAAGTAATGATTGCGTACACTCTCAAATAAATATTTAAAATGGTACGTGAAATATTGCAACGTTGTAATGTTAGTAAGCCTCTCTGGCACGTATTCTCTCTACTGTTATATTTTAGCTGTTTGATCGATTATAAATAGATAGCTTCAATGAGAACATAATCAATGTATAGCAAAAGACTATTAGGCTCTTAATTATAATGCTCGGTGATTCGATGGACGCCATACTTTGTGTCAAAACGACATGCGATACATGGCATCGATTGGTTCCATGTATTCAGCTACTTGTAATTTTATCCATTTTTTGTATCTCAATTCTGTTGTCAGGAGACTTAAAAATTCACCTACCAATTTTGGCTGGCAAATTCAACGTAATATATGCGTAGTTTTTATAGAGAGACAATATCACATTCGAGTGCAGTTTCGATATTAGTATCGAATGCGATATTTTTCCTCTAAAAAAACCACGCCTTTATTAAGTTGAATTTGTTTGTCCACTTGGTAAATGAATCCTTTAGTCTCCTGACAATTGAATTGCGATATCTCCAAATTCGAGAAAAAAGACAAGCAGCTGAAAAAATGGTGCTAATCGGTGCGATAAACCGCATGTCGTTCTGACACAAAATATTGCGTCCATCGAATTACCTTGAACAACCCAAAATGTAAGAAAGGTGGCTTAGGGAGGAGTATTACTATTTATACTGTCGTAGTAGGAGATACCCATTTCGCAACCCACAAATATCGGTGAATCGCGGATTCTTAGCTGTCGGTGAGGTTATGACGCAACCGTTACCAGGTTTGGGTTGCTTGGATGTCAGCTGGGGCCGCCCCCTGGGGGTTGGGCTCCTTGGATGCCAAGGGGGCACACCCGGAGGTTTTGCTCCCTAATATTTACGCATCACATTGTTGGAATTCTGTTTCCTTGGCCAATGATTTGCCTTCAAATAGCCGGCTATGCAAAATGACTGTCGTGACGCCCGAATAGTTTTATCAGAATTTTGCATTCAGATTACGGAGCGGGTTGAAGGCGCTCTTTTGTATCCCATCTGAGTGGCCCTGAACAATGATGTTGACCCAAAATGTTCATAATTTGGAGTCTTTAATCGAGTTGTAATTTTGAAAAACGCCCGATGAATATTATTTTTGCCACTATAAGTAACAAGTTTTTTTATGTAAGTCTTATTTAAAAAAAGAGAGCCAATATGCTTGGTTCAGATTGTTGTTTTTAATTTTTCTTGCTTAGGTCATCGTATTCTGGAGACATGTATCAGAAAGCTTGAATTGAGGAGCTTGGAGGACAAGGCCCATAAAAGTAGTTTTTGAAAAAAAATTAAAACAATTCGCTCCCACATTCCAATTTTTAAGCATCAAAAAGTCAGTTTGAATTTTCTTCCCTCCATAAGAATCTATGTTACTTCGAAACATCAATCACGTATATCTCGAAATAGCAAAACTTCGGTGCAAGTCCACAGCCGCGTATCTCGGTTTGTGACGTGGCAGACTTCCCGCCATACTTTATTTTTCACATCGAAAATTGCTCAACTGTAATTCTTAAAAACTACCCTGATTTTTCTTTTCTGTTTGAGGAAATTTCTTTGAAAATTTGAACCAATGATGTTGATTTGTTCCTCTTTAAAAAAATGAAATAGGAGTGGAGATATTGTAACACCGCAAACGAGAAACGTGGTCGCGGACTTACGCCTCTGATATACATTCTGCAATGAGAAACTATTATTTCTGGCTCATTTTGGATACAAAGTTTGTGCCATAAGTTTCCATAGGAAGAAAGGGACTTCTGCATATTTTTCAGAAGTAATGAAGTTTTTTACTGCAATATGAAGTTCATTTATTGCGATGTTTTTCACAACCTCTACAGCACAGCACGATGAGCGTTCAAAATCGTTCTAGTGCCGGATTGCAAATTTGAATGATGTCGAAAAGGCCAATATAACATTTTAGGCCGCTTTTGTTGTCTCTGATTTTTGAATTTTGTAAATTTGACTAAAAATTCGACTTTTACGTCAAAAATTACCTCCTGGCACCAATTTTTACAAAAATCGCTCCAGTAGGATCAACGGGACCCTTTATGGCATGTATAATGCTAGTCATTACAAATGTCACAGTTCCTTCATTTTCAGCTGATACTGTGCAATACTTCGATGGTGGAATAGTTGCTCAGAGCGCCTTGTTCAGTATAGCTTTGACTTTTTGGCAGAAGAGCACAATTGCCGCTAAAATTACACATTTTAGTGAGTGCGCATTAACACATGTTCTTATCGACGGTTCATACCTACATTTTTGACCTTGTCCTCGTCCTCCAAGCCCCTCAATTGTACTTTGTCCAGTGGTCAATTTTTCCGAGCCCATTTTGCACTGTTGCAGATGCCTCTGAGGGACCTACGGAAGTACTGGAAGGGGAAGCAAGCAGTGATCGTAGCGGACAGCGGAGGAAGCCCAAAAGACATCGAAGCGCAAAAGGCCCCCGACGACCCTTTGATCATCGACGAGAAAACCTCTGCAGAGAACACACTCCTTAACGGCACGAAATGCTCTCTTCCGATTTTCCAGGTGTGGCCAAGTCAGGACTCGCCGCGAGGGGAAGCCGATGGACAAAGTTTTGTTTTCCATTCCGAGGATGGCTACTCTTCGACAGGACAGAATGACTCCGGCATTGATTCTGTACAGGTGTGTAGAGATGATATTAATCTTGGGATAATAGCGAGCTGGTTATTGAAATCGATAGACAAAGCTAGAGTACCTATAGTGAGAGTATGGACAGATCTCTTCATGGAGGATTTAGGGCCCAAAAGTGTAGCCATGACCAAACAACTTGTTTGGTATGGTCATGTCAATAGGATGACGGAAGAGAGGCTGCCAAAAAAGATGCTTGATTGGGTTCCTCCTGGGAGGAGGCGTAGGGGACGCCCAGTGAGAGGTTGGCGACAGGGGGTGTTAAGTGAGATGAGGGAGTGTCAACTCCCTGATAACCTGTGGGAAGACCGAGCTTTGTGGCGTTTAGGTGTCGCAAAGCGCCAAAGAGCGCTATAACAGCGACTCGTATGTATGTAAGTGTAGCCATTCTTCTAACCAACTTCTAACACGCAAAATTTCACTGCTAGTCTACAGAGTCTGCATATTTCAATTCGAGCCAAGATGGCCAGGAATGTACATAAATGAGCGATCTTCCGCAGAAATGAGTAAATTTACGCAAAAACTAAGTCAAATACGTTCTTTATAAATCAATGTATCAGTAAATCGCTCTGGATATTGAAACTCATAGGTTGGCTGCATTTCTGGGCCCTAACTTTGTTCGCGGAGGCAATGGTGAAGACTTGATGGATTTTTGAAGTTTCACATCTGTATATATTTTCGCTATAAAGGTACTCTAGACAAAGCGATAGGCAAAGCAGACGAGGATAAAATGGATCGATCTTATTCGTGGAAGCGGATGGTCGCTAAAGACAAAAGAAACAGAGCAATAGATTATCCAACGGCAACCAACGAAAGACCAAGAGAGATAAGACCAAGAGAGACCCACGAGAGGTAGAGTCAGTCCATCATTTTTTCCCCAACCCATAACAACAACCTGTTTCTGCGTTTCACCCAATAGGATCGCTTCATTTCCCATAGATCTTCTTTGTTTGTTTTGTAGTTTTGTTCATCAAGTTCATCAATCAGCTCGCAGGTAAAATGTATTTGAGCCCTCGAACAAACAGGCTCATACAGTAAAAGAGTTGAACTCATTCGGAAATCAGTGCCATTTTGGTCCAATGATGACTGGTAAGCGAACCAGTTGCGTACCTCGTAAATAAATGACAAAATTTCAACGGTCCCAATTTGTGAAAATAACTGTTGCAATATGGAAGTATTTTGAATGTGTGTCCCCCCCTTAAGGAGTTGTTGAACCCCTAAAAGTAAAAGCTTCTATCTGTTGTCAAGAGACCAGTGGAGGGTGTCTTGTCTCTGGTTATGACTGTTTCCCTTATGATTGTCCATGAGAAAGTTTTGAATCCCAGAAATTGAAAGTTTCCACGGGTCACCAAGAGACCAGTTGGACGTATTTCTGTTAACCGGAACTAAGCGCCAATTTGAGTTCCTTTTGAGGATTTTAGAATCCTGGATAACCCGTTCTGTCAAACGGAACTAAGTGCCATGGAAAAGCATTGGGAATACAGGATGGAACGAGCATCGCGTTCCGCAACACCCGCCAATCTAAGCCCCCCTCTCCCTTCCTCCCCCTATGACGCTTAGTTCCGTTTGATAGAAATACGTCCAGTTGAGGGTCCATCTTTGTCTCTTTGCCAATACTTCTTTGATTTGTAAAGCCCTGAATCCACTCGTCAAAATGGCGTCTAAATGGAAGCTCAGAGTGAATCAAAAAATACGATCTGTTCTCAATTGTTGATCAAAAAAGAGTCGCGCCGCTATATTTTTTTGAGTTGCAACACTCATCAATCGCATCAAGTCCCGACTTTGAGCCACTTATCGTTGAAATCGATTCACTTTGAGCTTCCATTTCGACGCCATTTCGGCGAGTGGAGACAGCGCTAATTACTTTTGTTTATAGCGTTTAGCCCACTTACAAACTAGAGGCTCCAAAGAGACACATCGATTGCCCCGACTTAAACCGCTGGCCAATGAGAGGGCCAGGAAAGGCATCGATGAACCTCTTTGAAGCCTCTAGTTTGTAAAGCCCTGGATAGACGATCAAATTACGATCAAAGTAGACATGCTGATGACTGATGGTCACCGTCTACCATCAAATTTTGACGGGCCGCACTATTTTGTTCAAAGTAAGATCAGAATGGAGTGCCACCATTCATCATTTCCTGCCACAGGAAACATTTCTGCCAAGTTTTCATTTTAAAATGAAGCAAATTAATGAGTTTAAGACTGATGACTCCCGACACTTTGATGGTAATTGGTTCGGGACTTTGATCGTCTATCGAGACCTGAAAGGCCTCGATAGACGATCAAATTCCCGAACCAATTCCGATCAAAGTAGCATCAAAGTGTCGGGAGTCATCAGTCTTAAACTCATTAATTTGCTTCATTTTAAAATGAAAAATTGGCAGAAATGTTCCCTGTGGCAGGAAATGATGAATGGTGGCACTCCGTTCTGATCTTCCTTTGAACAAAAAAGTGCGGCCCGTCAAAATTTGATGGTAGACGGTGACCATCAGTCATCAGCATGTCTACTTTGATCGGAATTGGTTCGGAATTTGATCGTCTATCCAGGGCTTAAGTGGGCTGGACACCCAATGGATTTGGGCTGGATTTGATGATTGATGATTTGTCCTGTAGGCAAGTCCCTCGCCGGTGCCGGCGGCGCAGATCTCCCCCGGGGAGCGGTCCTCGCCGACGCCCTCCTCCAAGTACCGTCGGAAGTCGAGCACGTTCCTGCACCCGGACCACGCGCGGCTCCTCCGCTCGACGGGGCTCGGGACGGCCGCCTCGACGCCGGACGCCTCCGCCGACGAAGACTCCGAGTTCCACGGGAACCAGTCCGGCTCGGCCTCCTCCTCGACGGCCTCCTCGCTCACCTCGGTCGCGGCCGCCGTCGCCGCCATCGGCGCCCGCCACTCGGACCCGTGGGAGCGCGACCGCCGCCGCTCCTCCACCGTCACCGCCCGATACTCCCTCCTGGACGCCCTCGACCTGGAGTACGCCCTCATCCGGGCCGCAGCCCGCGGGAGCGTCGGGCCATACTCCCTCTCCGAGTCCCTCCACAAGCTCACCTTCACCCAGAGCCTCGCTTTCCCGGCGCTCGCCAGGGGACTCGCCAGCAAGCGCCGCCCTTCCCAGGTTTGTAAAAGTTTCGCCTTTTTCTTTTCTCGAGGTATCTCAAAAATCCCTCCTGGGAGGAGACGAGGGGGACGCCCAGGGAAAGGGTGGCGACAGGGGGTTTTAGGGGAAATAAGGGTTCGCCAACATTGGAACAAAAACACATTGGATCTAGAGTCCAGACTCTTGAAAACATTGACAAGAAAAAGGACTCTTGATTCAATCAGATTTACGCTTAAATCAAAAGGAAATCCGCTCAAATTAAGAGGCTTGGTTCTTGGTTTGAGCTTAAATCTGATTGAATCGAGAGTATTTTTTCTAGTCGATGTTTTTAACAGCCTGGACTCTACATCAAATGTGTTTTTTCTCCAGTGAACTCCCTGAAGGGCTTTGGGAGGATAGGGGACTTTGGCGGCTAGGGGTCGCAGAGCACCAGAGAGCGCTTATAGCGCTCTCTGGTGCTTCTGGTCTGAAGCGGCTGTACACATACATACGTACATACATACATCTCAAAAATTAGGGGTCCTCCAAGTTAAAATACCTACATAAGAGCCTCACTAAAAAGGGGTGTTTTTTTGCCCCTTTTTGGATACCCGAGTTGGTCAACCGGACAAGGCTCAAATGAAAGCTTATGGTAAGGCAACCTCCCGGACAAGGTTTCAACTTGAAGTGACACCCGTTTAGGCTGCACAACGTTGCTAATTTTTTATTTTTTATGTGCTAAAATCGAGGAACTAGGGTGTACTAGTCTGTTTAACTATGGTGCCCTGGACTCAAAGGGGTGGCGTGAATGATCGATTGTCGATATTTCCCCATTTGAAGGTATGCTGAAGAACCGATCTTTAGGTGTTATTTGCGAACACCCTGTAAATCGATCTTTTCCCATAGGTTTAAATGGCAGATCAATTAATATATCTCAAAGCACGCCACGCCACTGACTGGATTATTAGTCCTGAATTCCTTGATTTTAGCACATAAAAATGAAAAATTGGTACTGTTCTATAGCCTAAACGAGGTATCACTCCAAGTTGAAACTTTGCCTGGAAGTTTAACTTTGAGTATTGTCCGGTTTACCAACTCGGATATCCAAAAAAGGGGCAAAACTTGGCAAGGCTCTTTTTGTGAGTGGATTCAGCGTCCTACCCACTTAAGCGATAAGCAAATTTTGGTTCGTCAACTGTTAACGAAATCTGTAAACGGATGTCCTGCAGGCTGCGCGTTAACGAATTTGGTATTTTCATCAACCAATCAGAGCCCGGTGGCCTGTGGACGGGACTGTTGATGGGTTTTCCTCTCTAACCAGGAACGTCAACAGATTCGATAACGTGGTCTGGAGCACGTTTACGAAACTGCAAACTGTCGATGGAAATTTAATTACACTTAATTACGGGGGATTTGGCGGGAAAGGCTAAGCAACGCCCATTTAATCACAACCTTAGAACGTTCATTTGTTTTGATGACGTATTTCGTAAACTGTTTACTGTTTACGGATTTTGTCAACAGTTGATAAACGAAGATTTGCTTTAGGGGCTTTAAAGAGGCACAGCACCGTGTATTATGCGGTTGATTTCAATCCGCCTTCAGCTGGGTCCGCAGCAATTGTTGTTACGAATATGTTGTGCGTGCTGATCTCAGTTCATTACATACTTGACTCTCTGAAGGCGCTTAATATGCGAAAGTAGAGCACCCTGTTGGAGGACAACGGAGGTAAGATTGAATGGATCGCTCAATCCGTACTTCGTTCATTCTCCGACATATTGCGCTACTTGCGCACATAAAACGCCTTCAGAGAGTCGAGTATGTAATGAGCTAAAATCAGCACGCACAACATATTCTTAGCAACAATTGCTGCAGACGCAGCTGAAGGAGAAATTTTGGTTTAAAAAAAAGTAGGATAGGAAGTCTGCATGTAACGAGAGGGTATGTATTCAATCGGCATGAATCGAACGAAATACAAAAAACGTGAACCGATCAACACCGATTCAATAGACAAATAAATAAAAAGGCGGATCAAAGTCAGTAGAGAACTTTCATTTACTATGAACATTTCTTATTGCAATATCTCGAAATTAGGATCGGCTAAGATTTTGAATTTCCGCTATATCAAGTCCACATGTACCATAGAGTCACTCCGTGCAAACAGTTTTTGAGTACATTTCAACTGTCGCATTTTTTTTGCCTCAAGACCACTCTGAAACAGAGTTTAATTTTGACCTCAGCATTTCATCGTTCTTCTTCATTTGTTTGCAACCCTGTCGATCTTGTTAAAAAAGTCCACCAAATCTACTCGCGAAAATTTGTCTAAAGCGAGAGTATCACCATGCTTATGCCACTGTCTGATTGGTTCATCAGTTTTAGATTTTCCATGGGGCTCTTGTGGCCCAATGTGAACAAATCTGATCGAGCGTATTATCGTGTGACATCTGAATGATAATCACACAAAAAATGAACTTTCCGCAGAAAATATCCATCATCGTTTGATCAGGACTCGATTCAGAAGTTGGATGAAGGAACGTCTAAAACTCCGTTATCATCTTGTTTAATTATGCTTCGGTTCCAACCAAGAGTGAGGAACTACTATGAAAGTCTAAAACTCGCCGACCAATCAGAGAGCGGCATTCTATTTCTGTAGTAGAAGGATAAAGATTGAGATGTCAATACTCTCTTAATGGTGGTATTCTTGTTCAAATATTACGTAAGCTACCTAAAGAAGAAGAATGTCAAGCCCACTTTTACTTAAGCCCCGCATTTTTTTTAAAATGAACAATATTTTCCAATAAAAACAATTTTTTCGGCTACTTTTTCAGGATTTTTTCCGTAATAATTTCAGTAATTTTCTCCTTTTAATTCTCTAAAATGCATCGTCCAGAAAAAATAAGAACATGTACATATATACATGCATATCGGCAACACTCATCTAAATTTTCGTACATACTCCCATTTCCAAAATTCTCTGTAAAGACGTTAATAGCCTGTGACGCTGAATGTCTTAAAATATACTAACTAACTAAGTAATTTTATTTTTTTATACTTAAATTTTCCTCTCAGTATTCTGTATTGCGTCTCTTCATCGTTCCTGGCACTTTCCCGTAAATTTTATTGAAGGTCATTGACAGATTTTATTTCTGGTTTAAAGGTGCGAACAACCCCTTTGGACCCAGCCGACTCGGGTCTCAACGCCTTCGCCAAGATCGTGACAGCGCTGGTGCTGATGTTCGTGAGCGTCATGGTGTTTGCCGTGGTGTACAAGTTCGTGAGGACGTGAGGGTTGCTGCTGTCCCACGTGCAGGGGCAGCCAAACGAGTTCTACAACCAGTCGGACGCATCACCGCTCCGGTAGCCCTCGTGGTGTTGCCCGACCAGTGGGACAGCCTATCTACACCCGTGGGACAGCCTATCTACACCCGCATTCCGTTGTAAAAAAATGTTTCTTGCAAGTGCGGACAATCATCGCGTGCTAAATGCTAGTGTGTTTTCCTCCAGTTTTCAGGGTACTTGTCCGTGCGCTTACATTGAAAAAAAAAAAAAAAAAAAAAATGAATCACAATGGACCACTAGACAAGGTGCGAAAATCAGCATTCAGATACGTGTTTCTCAACCAGAATTTCATGTAGAACACGATTCTAAAATCTAAAATTACTGAAATCAACTCCTCACTAAGATATCGACGTTTTTATTTTACATTGGTCATGGGAGATTTGAGTTGCCCGGTCATAAGAAACGCAATCCTCTACGTGAGTCAAATCGCGCCTCATAAAGGTTTCAGCGGGCTTCTTCAATCGAGCATTGTTCCTTTCCCACCCTTTATTGTCCAAAGGGTAAACTATTTGCTATAGCTGAGCCAAAGCGTCAAGATTAAGGTTTCGGGATTTTCATGTCGCATAGATACTCATGGTAAAGTTTAGCGCGCGATTTGACTCGCGTAGATAATTTTGTTTTCATGAGCGCGCGGGATGTTAGAATCCTCGCGTCAAAAATAATTAAATATCATTGTTAGGAGTTGATTTCAGTAATTTTCGTTGCTCAAATCGTGTTCTACGTGAAATTTTGCTCAAGTAACATGCATCAGAATGCTTAACTTATTTATAGTGGTCCATTTCAAGCATACTCCGAGGAGTTGTTACCTACACCGGACACAGGTATGCTTGATCCAATCTTACTTGCGTCTGACTTAACTGTACCTCTGGCTAGTGCAACTGCTCTTATACCTGACGCCAAAGTCAGTCAGGAGTAATGAGTATAATTGGGATTGTGATAATTTTTTTATACGTGCAGAAATAAAGAGAGACCCTCTACTAGCCCCTTGGTCACAGGTGGGAACTTTTACTTTCCAGGATTCAACGCTACCTTATGGACAATCATATATGGGATTCATCTAATCTGCTGAATGGATGATGAGATTTTGATGACCAATGACCATGCACCAAAACAAATTTACCAAACTTCGGTTTGTTTCCAAAACAAAATGGACCCAACACGTTGTTAAACATCCATCTAGTAGGTCGGTCAGCGGTTGAATGTTGGCGACCCGAAAGTAAAAGCTTCCAACCGCCAAAATACCACTGGAGGGTCTCTTTTTAACTTTGAACGTGCTGTGTGCGCATCATCAGGGCATAGGAAAGAAAAAATAATGGACCGAAAACTACAGAGACAAATCAAGATACCGATGTCTTTTTCACCGTCGATACATTTTGTTTTATTTTGTTTGAAGAAGGGATTCAAATGAATACATCGTTTTTTTTTAAACGTAAAGGGAGTGATCGAGGTATATACTTCCAGCTCGCTGAGGTCGAACATTTTGGAATTGAAAACAAGATATAAAATTTCGTTTAAATGTAACCTCAGGGTCTCTACTTTGACTCGGCCTGCGAAATCTCATTTTGATTTTGAGCACAGCTCAACCCTTTTTCGGAATAAGGACGTAACTTGATTTTAACACGATACCGACGAAGATCCTTTCCCTAAAAGTGCTATCCGTCGTATCAGTGTTTCATGATTTTAAAATATTCCGATCGGCACGCATTTAAAGAAAAGATTGATCGCATACCCAACGTTTCTTATACATATCATTATAATATTGTGATGTGGGCCCTGAAAACCGAAAACGGATCCGTAGGTTTAAAGTAGTTTTACAAGAAGATCTTGCAGTAAAAATTGTTCCACGTACAATTATAATGCACATGCATATCTTGTACGTACCTAATATACTCATGTATATACATATTAATTTATTTTTCCTTTGAGGCATTGTACAAATATGTATCATATCTTTTTACTGTTCAGATTCGATATATTTTTGCAACTTTTAATCATGGAAACAATTTTCGTACCTCAAGAAAAGGCTAAACGTCATGTCAACTCGAACCAAACTCAGCGGGGAAGAGTCACAGCCAGTAGATACCACGTTCTCGAGAAAAAGCTGAAAAGGTTGAATTTTATTGGCCGTATTTCAAGATGGTGATGTAAGCCCCCCCCCCCCCCCCCCCCCCTCCCCCGGTACTGTTTTTTTTTTCATTTTAACGCAATCCCTTCTCATTTTAAATGACCCAGGAGAGAATTGTGAATGTTTTGTACCGTATACGACTTGATATTTTAAAGATGCCAATTGATCCATTTAGTATCAATGGGGCACTCTAATAAAAATTTGACCAATATTTTCAAAAAGAACTTTTCTTGTTAAAACCCAAGGAGAATTTTAAAAAAATTCAATTGCACCTCATTGTTCCTACTTCAGCTGGAATATACACAATGATACAAACGAATCTCTGGTCGATTTTATGACTGGCTCATTTAACCAAAACTTTCAGATCATATGTGCCAAATATTTTGTGACAAGTTACTTAATTTAATCAATGTAATCATCCGTTTTCAGACCATTTTTTCCAGAACTTTCAGCACCTTTGTTTGAATTGATAAACTAAGCGGAGGGTTCTAAAAATGAGGGCAGATTGTAAACACACATTCCACAACCATAACGTGCATTTTTTTATTTTTTATTTTTATTTTTTTTATCTCCAAATTTAAGATTAGTTTTTATATTTCATCCGCTGATGATTAGTCTGACAGAGGGATGATTTTCTGTTTTTATACTTCTACTCTCGTTCCATTTAAGAGGTTGGACCCGTTTGTGACCTAAAACTTGGAGCTAAATCTCATGAATGGATGCTTCGAGAAAGCAGTATCCGGATTTGGAAATTTATCTCTTACAAAATAGACGGAAAAAAAACACACGATCAGAAATTATAAGACATGTAGATGCGGGTTAACTTTTATGCACGTACTGATAGACTGGTAGTAAAATTTGAAAATATATCCTGGATCCCTGGTTCCTCACAAATTAGAGACAGTACTTTTTGGTATACATACAGTTTAAGAAAAATCAGCATTAATGCTTAGTATGCCAGTCTTTCAAAACTTTTCGTTGTCAGGTTGGTACTGAGAAATAACAGACACACTTTTTGGCCGCGAAAGTTTATTACACAAGTAAAACAGTTTTATCGCTTACACAGTATTTACGATTAACGTTGTAAGTAAACTAACAAAATAATACCAACAGTTATGAGCTCAAAATGCTTATATCTCTCATAACTCTCCAGTGCACAAATGTGAATTTTGACCGAACAATTTAATTACTTTCTCACAAAATCTTCTCTCTTTTTTTGCTTCGTTCGTTTCCATCCAACTCGCGTCCTTTCATAAGCTATCTGAAATTAAATTACCGTCCGTCTGCACGGTATAAAAACCATAAAAAGCTTAAATTTCGCACGGATAGGGATTTGCATTCATGACAAAATTAAGTATTCAGACGGCGTAAGCATATGGTGTGGTTACGCATTCGCTTGAAATGACTTTTGCTAGAATTTTCATGTATACCATAAATTAAATAGAGAGATGAAATTCTCTGAATAACTTCGCACTTGTTCATCTCCGTGCTTTCCAGCGAACGTGGTTAATTTAATACTGGCGGATGTTAATGAATAGGGTCACGAAAAGCAGCGTTGCCAATTTTTATGAGAACTCTTGCTAATTAGACATCAAACGATTCGAAAAAAACAGAGCTCCTTTTTTTACAGTCCTTAAGTGAAGGAGGGGAGGGTTTTGAATTGCATTCATAATTGTAGATTTAATCGATGAACTTAATGTATGGTCTCGTTGCAACATGGAATTTAGCAGGTATTATGTTTATCAGAATCAGGTGAATGCATTTTCAAAAGTTGCAATGAGATTCGGCCATCTCATCTCGTCTTTCATCATCCCAAGGCCATTGAAAACGTGTCCGAACTTTTCAAGGGAGGCTCTCTCTCAAAATTTCCCTTATCAACATGGGGCGAAAATTTCCTTCTAACTTTGAGCCAAGAGAAGAGCCTTTTAAAGGCGCCCTGGGACGCAACACCTCTTTGAATAATTTGTATGAGGCCTTGTTGAGTGCGCCTCCCCCTCTCAGAATCGATCGCAGCCCTAACTTACTTCCCTGAATTTCAGGCACTTATACCTCGTTGATTTTCGGGAAGTCGGGAGCCCAGAGTTTTTAAGTCCACGCGCAATTTCCCGACGTCATATCGTTGCTTTGAATTAATAAAATGTAATCAACTTTTAAACATATCTGGGTTTTTATGATAGGACGCATTTGCGCCGGATGAATCAGGTTAAAGGGGCCTCAGGGCTCAGAGCAAGCGTGTTTTAGACATTCCGCATTTCAACATTCAAAGGGATGGGTTTTACAAAATAGTTTTCAAACATTCTGAAGCGACGAGATCCGTTGCATGCCGAGACATTAGCGGACTCTGCGTTTTAAATATATATTCATTAAGAGGAAACAATTTGACATAATCATCAAGTATTTCAAGAGACCCACTGCTTTCGATTCTACATGTAATTATTGTATCTCAAAAAAATCAAAAACATCTCTGGAAAGAGCGTCCACTACGCATAACGTGGTGAGCCCTCAATAGAGGTTTTTTATCAAAGGAAATATGTAAAAGTAGGAGAGGGTGAAGATGAGAGAGAAGAGGAAATAGGAGAAAGAAAATTGAGATAATTCCACACGTTTTTGAGAAGAATAATGGTGAACTAAAAGTGCGCAATTTTCAATAATAGTTCTTTCAAAGGGTTTCCTCTCCAATTCCTCTGATACTACTTATACGCGCTAAAAATATTTTCCTCTTCAGGTACCGCTTAAAAGTAAAATTTGAGTGTTGAAATGTATGGATCAGGCATAGTTACCTTAAAAGAACGTTTCTTTCTTTCGAAAAACTCAAAATCAGTACGATTTTTTTATATATAAAATAATTCCTGTATTTTTGTATATGCCTTATTCAACTAAGATACGATAAACAAATCGACGATATTTTCATCGAGATGAATTTTTAAGAGGAGCCGTTTTGTCTCTATACTGGGTTTGATATGATGGTTTGATTTGCAGTATCAATACCATGTTCTTGCTTTGTGTCGTTTGCTTCACATTTTCCTGTGACATATCATTCATTATCAAATGCATTTGTGAATATTTTCTCTGCTTAACTTTCTGATTCATTGTAAAATATCAAAAAAGTAAAAAAAAGTATATTTTTTCACAATCTAGTGAGATTCATTTCTACCCACTAACTTGATAGAAACCTCATTTTAATCATAATGTTTTCATAACCAGCAAGCTTAAACGAGTCCTAAAGTTACAAAAATTATGTACACCGAAAAAATATTAAGTGAATTTAACATTCTGAATGTAAAAAAAGTGAGAGAGAATACTTATAAAATTCTGAAGTATCCACTACAGCAGTTACTTTAGCGATGCTGAGCTGTAAAACTAACTGCTGTGGCGGGTAAATCAGCATTTTATAAGTTCTCGCACACTTTTGTCACGTCCAGAAGGTTGAATCAACTTCACTTTTTTTCGGTGCAGGCTGTGAAAAATGGAAAGCAGCTCACAGTATTTTAATAATAAGGCGTGCTTTAACGAAAATCTGTTAAGCCAAAAAAATCTGAAAATCTGTTAAGCCAGCACGGTCGTGCTATCTGGGATTATGCACTTTTCAAAATAGTGACGTAATACCGGTAAGAAGTATCACCAACAATAAAATCTGCGGTGCTTTGTGTCTTACTTGATTTCATAGCTCATAATATCATTTTGTCAAATCGACCAAGCGGTATGGTCGGCTTAACGTCAATGTCAAAGTATATAACTCGGAAAAACCGAGATATCGAGGTTAAAAGTTACAGGATCGAGCCATTGAGATCAAGCATACAACCCGGTATAAAGTCGCTTTTATAGCGCCGCCTCGCGCTCTGCGACGCCCAATCGCCATTGCCCCCTATCCTCCCAGAGATCATCAGGTAATTGGCACCTTCTGATCTCCTCCTCCAGCCCTTGTCGCCAACCTTTCACAGGACGTCCACGCCGTCGCCTTCCGGGAGGAACCCAATCGAAGACCTGCTTGGGCAACCGGTCGTCTGCCATCTTTCGCACATGTCCATACCAGACCAACTGCTTGGACCTGATATCGTGCACAATGTCCTTCTCCACACCCATGATCTCGCGTACTTTTACATTGCGGATACGCTCTCTTCTTGAGATGCCAGCATACCTCCGCCAAAAGTCCATCTCAGTTGCCCTAAGCATGTCTTCAGTTCTTTTCTTGAGTTGCCAGACCTCACTCCCGTAAGTTACGATACTCTTCACGATGACGTTGTAAATTTTCCTTTTGGTCTCCTTGGAGATACTCTGGTCCCAGAGAACCCCATTTAGCATCGCGATAGCTTTCCTGCCTTGCACATTCCGATCTTTAATAGCCCGATCCAAATTTCCGTCCTTAGTTAACCAAACTCCTAGATATTTATACTCTTCACAGTCCTGAATTTTCCGACCATCCTCCAGTTCAATGCTTCGAGATCAAGCATCGAAGGTAATTATCTATGACCAAAGTCAGCAAATGCGTGTTTCCCTGTTCAAATTGCATTCCCAATTAAATCAAGAAGAAACAATGATATCTCCTACCCTTTCGACACTAACCCGGAAGTTTACTTTCACCCTTCAGAATATATTAATATCGGGTCAGCAAGGCAGTCCAAACAATTTTAAAATGATTTAAAAAATACTCAGCCTTTGAATATATTATGATATCAAACGATTTT